CTCCCCACCCCAGAATCCCCTGGCACCTGCACCTTCCCTTAGCCCTGCACCCTCCTGGTGCCTCCCTTTGCCCTCTCTCCCTAATACCCCCCCCCACCAGTCTCTGCCCCATTCCCCTCCCGCCCCTCTGAGCCCTCACACACGAATTGCTCCATCCTGACCTTCCTCATGCCCCCTCTTCTTTCAAGCCTCCTCCCAGCACCTCCCCCTCCAGCCCCCAGTGCCCTTCCTCTCTCCCAGCATCCCCCTGTCCCTCTCCCACTGACATCGCCCCTCCTGCCCTTTCCCTCATAGTCTGCACTTGGCCCCCGCCCCTTCTCCTTCCACCGCCTCGCCCCTCCTCTCCTCTCCTCGCCGCCGCACGAGCCGGTTCCCACCTTCTCTTTCCCCGGGGCGGGGCTGGGGGCTCAGGCCCCGGAGGCCAAACCTGGAGCCAGCCAGGCCCCGCCACGTGCCTCGCGCGGGCTTCAAAACCCCGGGCCGTGACGTCACGTCCTCCCCACCCACGTGCAACACCGCGCATGGGCGGCAGGCGGCGAGGAGGAGCCGCGCTCGGCAGGATGCGCGGGGGCGGGGCCCGCTCCAGGCAGAGCCGGGGAGAGACCCAGCTCCACAGAGCGCTGGAGCAGGGCCCAGCTCTTAACTCGCCGGCACTTCCGGGTGCAGGGGCGCGGGGCCCGATTCGACCAGATGGGTCAATAGGCCTAAGGGCTGGCAGCCACCAGGCGTGCTGAGGCCCCGCATTTTTTTTCCGGGCCGCGGACCATAGTTTGGGAAACGTTGCTCTGCAGGCTAAAGTAAAGGCTATCCAAAACTGGCCTGTCCCTAAGTCAAAGAAAAAGGCCTAATCCTTCTTAGGCTTGGCTGGGTATTATAGGTGATTTGTAGCCCACTACAGTGAGATCACTGTACCACTAACAGATCTGACCAGGAAAAAGCAACCAGATGTGGTCCAATGGACTGACATGCGCCAGGAAAATTTTAACCAGCTTCAAGCTGCCTTTATGTCTGACCCTGTACTAAGGGCCCCAGACTATGACAAGCCTTTTGTTGTCACCACAGATGTGTCCTAGCATTGTCTGGGGGCAGTTTTGATGCAGACAGGGCCAGATCAACAACTACGCCCTGTTGTGTTTCTCAGCAAAAAACTGTCTGAGAGAGAAAGCCACTGGTCTATGTCAGAGAAAGAGTACTATGCTATTGTGTATGCTCTAGAGAAGCTACGACCATATATGTGGGGACCACGCTTTCTTCTGTAAATCGACCACTAGACACTAAGGTGGCTTCTCACCATCAAGGAGAATGACAAAAAGACAGCTTTGGTGGAGTTTGGCTCTCCAAGACTTTGACTTCGAGGTACAACACATTTCAGGAGCTTCTAACAAAGTGACTGACCCCCTCTCCAGAAAGGAATTTCCGGACTCAGCTACTTAGAAGTCTCCCTGTATATAAGTCATTGTCTTCTAGTTCTCATGTATTCAGTAGTGTTGTAGAGTATGCATGTATATTGTTAACTGTGTTTCCTCCTAGAGCTCAAGAAGAAATCACAGCCACTGTGGACTAGCCTTCTAACACTGTCTGCAAGTTGGAGGGGCATGTCATGCTGCTAAGGAGAGTGCGACTTACCTAGAGGGTGAGGAAAGGGTTAAGCAACTGTAGATGCATCTGAGTGTAAGGGGACTGTTAGCCCCTTACTAAAACTCATTGGGAGTTTTTGGATGGCCAGCTCCCAGTACCAAAAGGGGAAGGGTCCATGAGAAATCAGGGCCCAGAGACTGACAGACCCCAGGGACAATGGGAAGAAGCCAACACTCCAGGTCAGCCTGATTGACAGATTGGACAGGCCAGTGGGAGAATTAGGAGGCCAGATCCCGTCCTCCATGTGTGCTGGGATTTTTTAGGTCTGAGTCAAAGGGAGAGAGAGCTGAGAAGAGCAGTAAGGGGTCCAAGCTGTGCTGAGGAGCAGACCTGCAGTGTCAGAGCCAGACACACAGCGCAAGGAGCGCAGACCCTGTGGTGAGGAGCAGACCTGTAGTGACCAGAGAGCCAAAGGGGTCAGAGGAGCAACACAAGGAGCTGGAGGCTGGCAAAGCAGCACAGTCTGCAGCTGGGTGTGGTGAGCAGCTGGGACCAGCAAAGTGTGGGGAGAGGCTCTGGGCAGGGAGACACCACCAGCCAAGAGGCCCTGCAGGCCAGACTTGGAGAGGGATTGTAACTCCAATTTGGAGAAGGGTCCTGCCACCTAGAGCCTGAAGTCGTGTGGTCACTGCCAGAGCAAGCATCCAACCTGCAGCCCCCCCTGCAGCACTGCTAGGGCCTGAGAGAGAGCCCTGGGACCTATAAGGAACAAACTGTGAACTTTAAACTGCAAACTGCTGTTTGTGAGATCCCCGTGCTTCAGAGCAGGACTGTGTGTTCTCTTTTAACCTTTCTCGTTGTTTCCTTATTCTTTTCTTTTTAATCAGTTCCTATTTAATAAATTGTATTCACTTTGAACTGTATGTAATGATCAGTGAGCCAAGAAAGCATCCAGTGTGAAGAGAGCACCCCGGAGTGGGGACACCGTAGCTCCTGCTCTAAGTGACTTCAAGGTTGGGGATTAAGCCCCAGAAAACCTGGGCCCAGCCTTGTTGGGATTATGAGGACTCTGCTATGCAGCAGAGTAGAAGGGGAGCCCACAGGGTCAGGGAGGCCTCTGGGTAAAGGAAGTGGGAACGGGGACTCAGATCCTTTCGCTGGTCCCTTTCATCGGGAAAGTATAGAAGCCAGGAAAGTTCTGCACAATAGAGGGACCATTCCCCCGCTTACATGAGGGAAGGGTCTTTGAACATTCAGCCAATGAAATGCAGATAGGAATTTCAAACCAAGAGAGATGGTTTTTTTTTCTCTTTTTGTCTTGTTTTGTTTGTTTGTTTGAAATCAGAGCCTGTATATATGTAAACACACAGGAATACAGCCATTATCTGCCAGTATGATCCTAGGGGTTGAATTTGGCTGATTTAACCTGCAGGATGCTTAATACTTTCTGACCATGGGTCATAGCAAGGCTTTAACTTTTACTGATTTTCCTCAGCATTTACTGGCTTCTCCAGTTTTTAGAGGTTATTAGACAGCACGCTGGGGCCAAGAGGGAACACTGGGAGTTCTCTCTCTCACCCTACTTCTTGTTTCATTTGAACACAAGAAAGGAAGAACAGCACTCCGAGGACTACTTGTTACAATCACTAGAGGGACGTTTGCCCTTGACCTGGTTCAGTGTGTGACTTTTCTATCATAACAGAGATTTGACATGATGGTACAAATAAATCAGCATTTCTGTCTCATCTGGTCTGGCCTGGCCCATGCCCACAGTGTCAGGGCCTGAGTACCCACCAACTGAGTACTCATGACTGTGTCAGAAAGACAAAGTGGGTGAGGCAATAGCTGTTATTCAACCAGCTTCTGTGGTCTCAGTCATCATGGAGTACAAAGGACTACAGGGTTACTATTACACATCAAAGTCCCATGTTGGTCCCCCAGCTTTGGGACAATCACCAGGAACCGCCTCTGCCCAGAGCAGGAGAGATCTCCAGAGGATGGGAGGGAAGATGCTGCTCTCTGATTGAGCACTCTGCCATCTCACCGACATAACCAGCATCAGAAATGGCTTCTGTGGTCACCGACATTTCTCCCTTCTGCACATTGTCAGTGGGCTCAATAGAATGGAGCAGGTGCTGACCATGTGTTCCACATCCCCCATGGAAACAAGGCCCTAGACAGCTGGGGAGGCCACAAGAAGATCCATTAGATGCTGGTGGGCCTGGAAGAGGTACTAAGGACAGAGGTGCCTGTGCAGGCAAAGGACCGAATTGTCACTGGAAGAGACTGTTTTCTTCTTTTGCTTTCCCAGATGAGTACACTCTTGCTGAATATAACACACCCTGTGCCCAGGCTGCTGGTGACAACTTGCTAGGAGTCAGGAGAAGGTAGCTGAGAGTAACACATGCCTGAGGGGTGTGAATGGGGAAAGGAGAGTATCATAGAGATGGTTGCCCAGGGGGAGGAAAAGGAAAAATAGAGCTAGCGGTGCTATAAATCCACACACATTATTGGGGATCAGGAAAGGGTGATCTCTGCCAACCTTTGCAAGGATCCACCTGGGGATTTTACCTTCGCGCTCTGAAGATCTACCTGCATGTCCTGAAGATCATTTCCAGAAGTTGCTGATAAAGCCTAACAAAACTGGTACTTGTGTGATTTGTCCCAGAGACCCTACTCCACTCAGGGGACCAGGTCCACACTGTACACAGGTGTTACCTGTAGAAGACTAGATTCCGGGGAATCACATTTCTGGCAGCAGATTCCTCCAGAATACAACTTTTAGGGTGAAAAATGATTTCTGCATGAAAAAGTCTATAGATTTTAATCAGTCTCTTTTCCCTTCCCTCTGTCACTAGGAGAAGTGACAGCTGTGAAAGTGTGATGATGGATTCCTCCTGCTCTCAGTGACTGAGCTGGGAGAGGGCCATTTAATAAATGCCACACTTACAATCACAGGGTGTGTGGGCTGGTTAATTGCAATGAAGTGAAGCCGACGCCTTTTCTCCAATGTTCCTGGCTGAGGGAGAGTTCTGGTCACACAGAAAATCGTCCTCCCACAGTCACCACAGCCCATGGGCTGGCAGCTGCTTCTCTGCTGGTTTCCCTTCAGCTCAGGGTGTCAGTGTGTTACGTGCTCAGGAGACTCACACTGACAGCACCTGTGGGGCTCCTCCCCCTTTTAGGCAGTTGAGACGGGGGGGGGGAGCGGATACCAGGAGAGGGGTCACTCCGGGGAGGTGAGTTTTCAGCCTTCCAGCCACGTTCTTTCTTCCCAGGGGAAGAGCAAGGGCCCCTCTTCCCTCCAGGTTTAAACCCCTTTCTCTGCAGCGTCTCCTTGTGGGCCATAACCTGGGAGACTTGGTGTCATTGGAAGCTTTCCAGGCCATCTACTCAGCAGATTCCTCTTCCCAGGTCACCTGGGTCAAGAGCTCTGGCCTGTTGGCCCAGGATGGGTGGCAGGTGAGCTCCCTCCCACCTGCACTTCAAGCCATCCAGCGGTGTGTGGGTTCAGTGCTCTATTTGGGTGTCAACCTTTCTCCCACACCTCCACCTTTGTCCAACAGCTGGCAGGGTTTGGAGGCCAGAATGTCTGAGAGGTTGTGGAGATGGACAGGATGCCGTGGTACCTCTCCAGGTGAGGGAGGGCCCTGGAGCTTAACCAGCTGGTCCTGTCCCTGCTCTGGAGCCGTCTCAACACTCTGCTCCTGACCCCAGTTTCCTGGCCAACCCCCAGAATCTGGTTCTGGAGTTCTTCTGGCAAAGATGATGTTGGGTCTCTGCAGGGTTCTCCACCTTCACCTGGAGGAGAAAGGGCAGGGCCTGATGTGCTTGGGCGCTCGGGTCCATGTTTTCCACCTCCAGGCCCTGCAGAGGCTCCTCTGTGGTACAGGAAGTCTAGAGCAGAACTCGTTGGTGTACACCTTCCTGCGTCACTTCTGAGAGCTCAGATATGACCGGCTGCTCCAGTATCTGCATCTGTGAGATATTCTGAGAGATCTCACCAGGCTGCCAGGCTTCTACCACAATCTCCTCCAGATCTGGAAGCGGGTATCTGTGGGGAAGACCTCTTCATGGAACCCCTGCTACCCACTCCTCAGTTCTGTGCGAGTGGCGTATCTGGGGAAGGTGGTGGATGTAATGTACCTTGACTTTAGCAAAGCTTTTGATTCGGTCTCCCACAGTATTCTTGCCAGCAAATTAAAAAAAGTATGGTTTGTATAGATGGACTGTAAGGTGGAGAGAAAGCTGGTTAGATCTTCAGGTGCAATGAGTATTGATGAATAGCTCGATGTCTGGTTGGCAGCCAGTATCCAGCAGATATTTAATTCTGGAGCCAGGTTTCTGTTGTGGGGTTTGTCCATTTAGGGGCTGAAATGTAAGTGGAAATTGGGTTTGCCTTGAGAATGGAAGCCCAGGGGTTCTATTGGGTTTGCTGGAGAATGGTCAATGGGCAGAACCCAAGTACAGAAAATCAAAAGGTGTTTTTTATTTGAGTTGGAAAGGGACCCTTGGGAAGTGTTTTGTCAGGGACCAGGTGATTGGGATCCTATTGCTCTGGTTAAGCATGACGAATTCACCTGTCACGAATTCACCTCGCCCCCCCTCCCCGCCCCAAGTCCGTGTGGGATGGGGTCCTCGCGTTAACTGCACAGAGGCTCCTATCCCTAGCTTTATTCTGGGCTTGCGCCGTAAAGGGGGCTAGGTATGGTCCACGCCCAGGTAGTGGGGAAAGACCAACCTACCACCCAGCAAGCCTCCCTAGATCCCCGTGGTTGGTGCAGTATCACCTGCTGTCTGGGGTGGGGAGAGCTCGGCACCCGCTGGGGGGTTACTCACGGCCTCCCCAGTCTGTCGGAGTGTTGTCGATGTAGATGTCCCCGGACGTCGCGGCCCTGGGCCTTGTGAGGGCCCCGGGGTCTCCGGTCTTCTGGCGAGCTCCCAGCAGCCCCTGCCGAACCCCCGCCGGCCCCTGCCGGCTTCAGCGCCTTCCTCCGCTGCCCCGTACCTCCGGCTGTCCCCTCCCCCTCCTCGGGCGCCGCCGTCGTCACCCTGTAGCCTCCGCCCGGTTGCGGTGACTCTCGCGCCAGGCTGCTGCCTCCTGCCGCTTCCTCCCCCTTCCAGCTGGTCTGGCCGCTTTTTAAATGTGGCACGCAAGCCTGTGCACATGCGCCGCACCGCCGGGGGAGCGAGTCAGTCTCTCCTCCCTGCCCCTGGATCGTGGGGCAACCCTACGCTCAATCAGAGAAGATGAAGACTTCCTTGATAGAAGGCAGCATTTAATCCTGCAGACACAGCAGGTGGAAGAGCCAGAGGGGGCAGTCCTGGATAAGTAAGAGAACTGGCAGCATGTAACTTCTAGAAGATAATAAAGGCCAACTCAGGAATCCCCCCATGGCTATAGAGGTAAGTAATCACTTTCAGGCTCTTTCCACAGTAACTGCGCTGGAGAATGCTTTGGGAGGGACCTCTCAAGGAAGAAATCACAAGGGAACACCATCTACTGGAAGGCATGGGATGAGTAGTCCTAGGGATGTGACTGAGAGTCTTACAGAACTGATCAAACCTTCAGATTCCTACCGCTTTCTGCTTCTCCATGTGGGAACTAACGATACGACCAAGAATGACCTTGAGCGTGCTACTGCAGTGTTATGTAGCACTGGGAAGAAGGATCAAAGAATTCGGAGTGCAAGTGGTGTTCTCGTCCATCCTTCCTGTTGAAGGGAAAGGTCTGGGTAGGGATCATCAAACTGAGGAAGTAAATGTGTGGTTGCGCAGGTAGTGTCGGAGAGAGGGCTTTGGTTTCTTTGACCATGGGACTCTGTTCCAGGCACAAGGATTGTTAGGAAGAGATGGGATCCACCTAGCCAAGAGAGGAAGGAGCATCTTTGTGAGCAGGCTTGGAAACCTAGTGAGGGGGGCTTTAAACTAGGTTCTTTGTGGGGTGGTGACCAAAGCCCTGAGGTAAGTGGGAAAGTCGGATACCAGGAAGAAATACAAAGAGGAACGAACAACAAAGGGGGACCCCTGATTCGAATGGAGAAGGTGGGGTGAACAACTGGTTATCTGAGGTGTTTGTACACGAATGCAAGAAGCCTGGGTAACAAACAGGAAGAATTAGAGGCCTTGGCCCAGTCCAAGAACTATGATTTGATTGGGATAACAGAGACTTGGTGGGATGGCTCGCATGACTAGAGCCCTATCATGGAAAGTTAGAAACTATTCAAGAAGAACAGGCGGGGGAGAAAAGGAGGAGGAGTTGCACTATTTGCGGATGACACTAAGCTAGCAGGAGAGGTAGAGACTCTGGAGGGCAGGGTTAGGGCCCAGAGTGATCTAGACAAATTGGAGGACTGGGCCAAAAGAAATCTATTGAGGTACAACAAGGACAGGTGCAGAGTCCTCCATTTGGGACAGAAGAAAGCAATGTATGTAAGGGTATGTCTACAGTACAGTGCTATTTCAAATTAACTTAATTCGAAATAGTTAATTTGAATTAAGCTAATTCGAAATAACACATCTATACACAAAGCTATTTCGAAATAGCTTTTTGCTATTTTGAAATAGCACATCCATACTGAGTGGATCCTGAACCAAAGTTAAGGCTGGCTGAAACCAGTGCCGGCAAGGCATCAGGTTAGGACTTAAACACACATTAAGTCATAACCTGGCTGCTGCCTGAGGCTAACTGAGCTCCGTGCTTAAAGGGACCCTAACCCCACCCTGGACAGACAGTTCTCAGGGTTCCCTGCTTGCTTGTCTACCTCGATGAGGGACAGCAAAGCAGTCCTGTCTTAGAGTGCCCTGAGTGCCCACACTCGGGACACCACAGCACTCAGCCACATGGAGACAGAGCTGCACCTGGGCACACCGGTGCATCTCATGGGGTCGTTGCCATCAGCCCGGCTGCACTTGCTGCAGACTGCCATCTGGGGGTCCATCGGGGGGCTGTCAGGATCCAGGAGGCCCTGAGGGAGAGAGTCCTCTGGTTTGGGGGCTTGTCCTGAACGTCATGTCTGGGTGCAGGGTGCTGCCTGGAAATGACTATGCTTCTTCCTGCAGCAGAGATCCCTTAGCATTGGGGCCGACCAGGCTGATGGATGTTACAGTTCTCAAGTCTGTTACTTTTGTGAAAAATGTGAATTTAAATGAAAAAAAAAGGGCGGGGGGGAAATCCCACAATCATTCATCTTCTCTCAACTCTGGTGTTGGGAAACTGCTTGGCCTCCCTGCACGAGAGCGTGGGCCCTTCTGCTAGGCCCTGCTCTGTTAGGCCAGGGGGGAACAGTGTGATGCAGCAGATGTGTCACTCTCAGAATTTACTTTTACTGCCTGAACAAGGGCACCCTCACAGTCACACACATACATACCTGCCTAAGTCTCAAGGAGGAAGTTTGGGTGGGGAAAGGGTCTGGATGCAGCGCGCAGGCTCAGGCAGGAATGTGGGTGTGGGAGGAGATCAGTGACACAGACTAGGCTGGGTAGGGAGTGAGGTTGGAGGAGCGGGTTCTGGGAAGGAGTTTGGGGGCATTAGGGGTCAGGATTGCCCTTCCTAGCATTTGCCCCAGCCAAGGCAGCTCACGTACAGCAGGGGACACAAGAGTAGCTTCTCTACAACCTGCTCGGTGAAAATACCCAGACCAAGGGTATGTCTACACTACCGCCCTAGTTCGAACTAGGGGGGTAATGTATGCATACCGAACTTGCTAATGAAGCCCGGGAAATTCAAATCCCGGGCTTCATTAGCATAAAGCTGGCGCCGCCATTTTTAAAAGCCGGCTAGTGCGAACCCCGTGCCATGCGGCTACACGCGGCATGGACTAGATAGTTCGGATTAGGCTTCCTAATCCGAACTATCTAGTCCATGCCGCGTGTAGCCGCATGGCACGGGGTTCGCACTAGCCGGCTTTTAAAAATGGCGGCGCCAGCTTTATGCTAATGAAGCCCGGGAAATT